TATTGAAAAAATAAAACTTGTTTATTTGGTATGGCTGGATTCGGTTTTCTATAAGCTTTTCAACGAGCCCCCTCATGCCTTATGTTTCGATTTGAAAAAAAAAGTAGGGGTTGCTGGGGGTTAGGGGGTTGAAGAAAAATAAATTATTATATAACCGAAAGATGGGAAGAAATTAAAATCAGTTAACCTGTTTCGGCGTTTTAAAAAAATTAACTCATTAAAAAGATATGAATTTTATTCCGTACTTTTGGCCATCCCTGTAGATACACACATAACGGCAATAATTGCGGTTGCATGCCGGTGCTCATATTAGAAGCTGCTTAGTAGTCCGTTGGTGTAAACCGGTGTTGAAATAATCATACACAGACTACCGGCATCTTATTAATGTGACGATTTNACAAAATTGTAATCGCCTATCATAATCGTCTTCCAAAAGCTCTTGGACAAGACATACCTTATAGCGGTGGTATTTCTCTTGTTTCAGAAACATTCGCATTGCAGTTCGAGAAGCATCGTGATTGCGGTCCAATGAAACGGTTGAAGTATGATGATTTTCAACAAGTTCTTATGCAATGTCTAATTTCTTTTCTTCATTCAAAGCACGTGCCGGTCCAGTTTTGAGCAAACTCTGTACTATACCGTGTTCCTCAAATTTGTGAAATATTTTACTAACTGCCCCTTGTGAGATTTGGTTTTCAGGATATTTCGCATTAAATAAATCGCGCACTTCAGCCTGACTTCTTATTTTGCCTCCACATCCAAGCAATATCAAGATGTCGATGCGGTGCCTTTCCTACAATACCATAGCAATTCAGTAAATAACTTGATTTTAACACAATAGTAACGTTTTGAACTCCAATTTACAACTAAAGCAAAAAATTAACCAGAAAGCCTGGCAAGTAAGTGGTACCAAAAAAACGCAACATAAAAAATATATCTTTTTTGCGTTAGCAGTGATAGGTACAGTTTCAAATTCTTTATTTTATTCTGTGCAAATTCATGGAGGATAACACTGAAGATAATTAAATTTTATTTCACTTGTTAAGTAGGTGTTTTATACAACCCTAAAAACCTTGCTATTGAAAAAATAAAACTTGTTTATTTGGTATGGCTGGATTCGGTTTTCTATAAGCTTTTCAACGAGCCCCCTCATGCCTTATGTTTCGATTTGAAAAAAAAAGTAGGGGTTGCTGGGGGTTAGGGGGTTGAAGAAAAATAAATTATTATATAACCGAAAGATGGGAAGAAATTAAAATCAGTTAACCTGTTTCGGCGTTTTAAAAAAATTAACTCATTAAAAAGATATGAATTTTATTCCGTACTTTTGGCCATCCCTGTAGATACACACATAACGGCAATAATTGCGGTTGCATGCCGGTGCTCATATTAGAAGCTGCTTAGTAGTCCGCTGGTGTAAACCGGTGTTGAAATAATCATACACAGACTACCGGCATCTTATTAATGTGACGATTTTTTTTACAAACCGTTCTTAAAAACAAGTCGTACGTTCGCTGTAATTTCAATACGAGTCGAGCATCTTGATACATCGAGACAGATAAGAGATGTACCTAATTCATTTCAAGTGAGCATCTTGTGAATTGTGAGCGGACCGACCCGAACTGGTGAGTTTTATAAATAACTTCCGACTTTCGTTGATCAAATGTAATAAACATTATCTTGGTCTCTGGAATCTGCGATTATCATGTTGTTCGGTGTAGGCGAACTTAATCCTCTAGACGTATCAAAACCGCATTATCATTGTTATTGTTGCAAAGGGGGAGAGGTACCTTTAAATGGTGAAAGTCGCATCTGGATTTCTCGATCCATTGCGTTGTTGGGTAACTTTTGTACGGCGTAGGTACCACAAATCAGTAAGTCAAGGTTACCACAAATTACTTGTGCACAATAATGGGATAGTTATTATTCTTGATAAAAAGTTGTGCTTATCTTGGGAAGCCATGGGCAGTAATCAAGTATATAATAAAACATACAGGGCTTCCAAAAAATTTCAAAATGTTTGTTTTCGTTAAAAACTGTATTTAATAAAGTTGTTCGAGAACTCAAGAAATGCTTAAATACGGGGTTTAGTCAGAAAGGAACAATAATCACATTTGCAAATAAATATTTCTTGAAGTAACCCGTCCAGAAAACCAATCAATTGTCTGACGAGATGTGTGACAAGTTGCACTATATTGTTGAAAAAAAAACATCGTCCTCAAGGACATAAGGTCCCAGTCGAAACGGTGACACTCTGAGGATAAAAATGTACCTCTTGAATCACTTGAGGATTTTTATCCATCCAAGCTCTGCAGTTATGTTTATTTACGAATCCATTGAGCCAGAAATGCGCTTCATCGGAAGAAATTATTTTTCCTCCTTAATGTAGATCGAGTTCCAACTACTCTGGAGCCCAGTTGGCGAAAGTTCGACGCAGATGCTCATCACCTGGCTTCAGTTCTTGAGTAATTTGTCAAGTCATCTATTTTGTTACAAAATCATCTACAAAAAATAAAGAATAACTCTTTTATTTAGGGCTTACTTTCAATGTTACAGGGAAAAATATGTCGAAAAACGGGTAAAGTTCAACAGTATACTAACGTGATATGAACGTGAAAAGCATACTAGGGCAGCGGCTCAGACATGTCTTGGTTGACCCGCTTTACACGATATTTTACTACAAGATGGTTGTGGAAAAGTATCAGTAACTTTTAACATATCTGCCAATTTTGCTTGAAGCAAAAATTTAAATTTTTCGAAAACTAAAGCTTCATAAAAAATTACGGTAAGTTGTAAACCAATGAAACTTAACATGTACGAGTTTTAAAAACCGCTAAATTACCAGATTTTCCTCAAGAATTACTAATATGATTTCACGAAAAAATAACACTTCAAAAAAAAATCGCCGCAGGCCCTAATTTTTTTTTCGTAGGGATTTGTGAATAGAGAATTTGATTTTCTATAATATGGTGCTAAAAAATACAGGATGTTCCATTTATTTAAAAAGTGTTGTGGATTTAAAATTTTCACAATGTAACGTAAAAATGGGATACTTAGTAACTATAATTTTCTTCAGGTAATTTTGATAGTGGAAGGTGGTGCATTCATTGCGGTGGTGTGTTCATTGTTTTTCCGAAAAGCAAGTGAAAGCTTCCAGGACGAAGAAAGATATAAAGAATTTTCGAAACGCCTGCATCTGCCAAAATTTTTATATAATGTTGACAACTTTTCTAATAATTTTTTTTTTAGCTCTTACCCCTTGATCTTGAAAAACCCATATATAAAAAATTCGGGCAAGTTGACCAACATTGCGATTTAAAGGCCCATTTAATTGGCCTAATATGGCCAAATTGCGAAAATCTCATCGACGTATTTCCACCAAATCGTTTATTCAAAAAGTTTCTTAATTTTAACTTGTTCTATTAATCTTACTTTCAGCACGATGTCTTGCTTGGCAACATTCTTGTTAAACTTAGTAGGCGTGGTGACGGCCTTGTTGGCCATAACTTACGCCTATTTCAAATGGACCTACCAATATTGGAAGAACAGGAATGTGCCTTATATCGAACCCACAATACCATTCGGTAACACGGGCAACCCACTGACCGAACCTCTGGGTGAAGCTATTGCTGAGCTGTACAGAAAAGCGAAAGCTAAAGGTGCGTAGTGACACATCACTAATTATAGCATTAATAATATAATTAATTCATTTTGATGTAAATAGGCAATACAATTAAAATTAAATTCTGNAAAAAATAAATTTTAATTGTTGTTGTATTTGTTACCAATTTTTTTCAAAACCGATTTATCTCGCAAACCGTTCATTTTTTCGAAATAAATAAAGAGTACCATTTTTAAAGAAAAACCTTCAGAGTATCTAATAATAATATTTTCAGTTTGATAAAATTACTTCTGTCAAAATTTTGAGAAAAATTGTGATAGGGCCAGTCCGTTTCTGGACACCTGATAATAGCAAAAAGTTGATTTTAGCATCAAATCGTAGAGCTCCATGTGTAATACAACGTACGAAAATTTTATTAAAATATACAGGGTGGTTTCAAAGTTATAACCCTAAACGTTAATTTCTAGGTACCCCTTTGACTCCCCATAACTCCGTTAGGGGGCACATTAGGAAAAAAAATATATAGGAAGGACTAGTTTTATTTTGACCTCCCCTATACACTCCCGAGAGATTAGGAGGTACTTACCGGACACCCTGTATAATAAAACATACAGGGCGTCCAAAAAATTTCAAAATGTTTGTTTTCGTTAAAAACTGTATTTAATAAAGTTGTTCGAGAATTCAAGTGTCAGGTTAAGCCATAATTAGCAACTCACTTAATCTTAAATTACTTTAGTAATACTTTAATAAATGAAATACATAAATGTAAAAGTGTGAATACTACTAGGAAGACTCAGAGTCGAATGCCTTCTCTATGGTTCATACCGGTATCCCGTACCGTAACATAAATAAACACAGGGCTAGACATAATATTTCACTATCTCAAGAGGCCCTACATTATGAATATTCAACACTAAAAATGTCTTTGGCTGAACCTCGGACCTCACACAAGAAATGCTTAAATACGGAGTTTAGTCAGAAAGGAACAATAATCACATTTGCAAATAAATATTTCTTGAAGTAACCCATCCAGGAAACCAATCAATTGTCTGACGAGATGTGTGACAAGTAGCACTATATTGTCGAACAAAAAACATCGTCCTCAAGGAAATAAGGTCCCAGTCGAAACGATGACCTTTTTTAAAAACCCATATATCAAAAATTCGGGCAAGTTGACCATCATTGCGATTTAAAGACCCATTTAATTGGACTAATATGGCCAAATTGCGAAAATCTCATCGACGTATTTCCACCAAATCGTTTATTCAAAAAGTTTCTTAATTTTAACTT